TTTTCATCTCGAGACCCACAAAAGCTACAGGGCTGAAACTTTGGGGAGTTAATCTACATGCACGTATGGGCCCGATCTCCAAAATGGGCGGTCTTACTCGCGTGGTACCCACGTAAGAGCCCTCCAAAGTTTTTTACGCGTACACTGCTAACTCACGAACCAGAAAAGATAGAAGGCTGAAATTTTAAGGGAATGTTCCCCGCCCAAGTAGGCACTAATGAGCTCAAACTCAACTCCCGGGTAAGCGTGATACCCGAGTACGGGCCCGCCAAAATTTTTCCCGGGCAAGTTCATAACTCGTGGATCTGAGATGCTAGAAGACTGTAACATTAAGAGGGTGTTTCTCGCCCACATTAGTCTCAACGAGATCAAACTCAGCCCTCGGTCATGCTTGGTACCTATGCACGGGTTCACCAAAGTTCTTCTCGGGTAGGCTTATAACTCGAGAACCTGCAAAGCTAAAAAACTGTGGTTTAAGATGCTCCCCGTCCAAGTATGTGTCGTACCCGCGTGCGGGCTCGTGAAAGTTTTTTCCAGTAAGTTGCTAACTCAGGAGCCAGAAAAACTAGAAAGTTGAAATTTTATGGGGTGTTTTCTGCCAGTTCTGGCAATCAATCTTAATTTGTTTAGCTTGAAACATTTGCCGAAAAAACCGATGCCGGTAGCGACAAAAATTGCGGGGAACTCTGCAAAAAACTCATCTTCGCACGGGCAGCCCGCGCGTTGGCCAATTATTTACATTTAAGCTCGACTTTGAGTGCATCGACAATGCTGTAGAATTTGTGCCACCCGTTTATTATGGTCTCTGATATTTTCAGCTAATACAATTAGCAGTAAAATCAAGAATTATCATGTGCCTAAACAGAATTCGTGTTAAAACTGTAAAAGATGTACAATTAGAGAAACAAGACCTAAAATGAGTAAATTTTGGTTATTTTTTGAAGCAATTTCTGGCCGCGCAAGATTGTTTCTGTTACTGATTTTTGCATTTTATGATAGATTTCAAAGGGCAAATTGCTTACATGCGGTGTTGGTACTTCAAATGCCAATTAAGTAGTAAATTACCGTGGCTGTGCCCCACTCGCAGCACCCAGTGG